GAGGTCAATGGTAGTTAGGTAGTTCCCCCTGGCTATGCGGTCCAGCAGCTCATCCACTCTGGGCATGGATAAGCATCGGTGACGGTTTTGTCATTGAGTTTCCGATAGTCCACACAGAATCTGGTAGTACCTTCTTTCTTGGGTACCAGAACCACCGGGGGTGCCCATGGACTATCGGAAGCTTCAATGACCCCTAGCCGGAGCATCTCATCTATCTCCTTTTTCATGCCCGCCCGAACTGCCTGCGGGATTCGGTAGGGGGCCTGTCTTAAAGGGGTTTGCCTGGGGGTATCTACTTGGTGGGTGGCCAGATCGGTGCACCCCGGTTCCTGAGAAAACATTGCTTGTTTCTCTCAGAGCAGTTTGTGTAGCTGCTCCCTCTCTACTGGCCCCCGATCTGTACTTGGTTCACTACTTCAGACAGGGAGTTGGGGGTCAATAAGTCGGGTATGAGGAGACTATCTGAGTCCTCAAATGTGGGACTACATATGGCTTACACCTCCTCTGGCCTCTGTAGGTATTCTTTCAGCATATTCACGTGACATATCTTCCGTAGGTTCTCATCGTGACAGCTGGCAATCACATAGGTAGTGTCCCCCCTTTTCTCCACTATCTGGTAAGGTCCCTGTCAGGCTGCTTGCAGCTTGTCTGCTTTAACTGGTTTGAGTACCATAACCTTCTGTCCTATACAGAAGCTCCTCCGCCATGCCCCCCTGTCGTACCAGACTTTCTGTCGCCCCTGGGCCGCCTGGAGGTTGGCCCGAACTGACTTAGCCAACTGCTCCATACGGTCCCTCAGCTCCAGCACGTATGGTACGATGGGGACCCCAGCGTTCTCAGTCTCTCCCTCCCAGTGCTCACGGATAAGGTTCAGGGGGCCCCGTACCTTACGACCTGTCAGAGTATTTATATCGGCAGACATTTTTGTGCTATGATAGAAACTAAAAGTGTATATTCTGAGTCACTCTGAACAGATCAGACTCCATTTTGTTATTTCAAAAAAAAACAAAGAGACACAGGATTTCTTTCTGTAAGACTGGCCTCTTTGCCAGAGCTAAGGAATGCATAGTATAAACAAGTGATAAGGAAGGGGGTTGGATAGACTGTCTAAAGTGCTAATGGAATATAATCAAATCTAAACCCAGACAATTGTGACAGAGAAGATTAAATAATTTAATATTTAACTGTCTATATATATAAGGTACCATTGTATGGAAAAGGGTAAACTTAGTTCATGATCTGTCATATCAGAAATTATGGCAGGAATTGCAGACGCTAAGTCTGGACAAAATTTAAGAAATCCTTTGAAATTTTAAATTATGGCGCTATAAAGATAACGCAAAATGACGGCAAAATAGCCACCAGGAAAAGCTAACTCTTTCTTGGATAGGTATGTTTAGTGGGACAAGACTGCCCTCTATAGACCAAATACCTAAATTGCGATCTGGAAGATAACCACACCTCTAGTGCTTCTATTGGGTTATCAACTGATGACGTACAGAGAGTCTGGCCCTTTAAAAGTTAAGACAAAGGGAAGATAGACGAGAGGAGGCAGATGCAGGACATATGCAAAGGAGAGGAGAGAGGAATTGGAAGTTTGGGGATTCCAACTCGGACAACATCTGAGACTAACACTCTACTCCTAAAACTCTAACACTTAGAATTTACTGACTTTCTAACCAACACCTCCATGCAGAGAGAGACATCCAAATAAGTTCCTGAGACTACCAATCGGATGAAATATCTACTCAACTGGTAATTATACTGGTTTCATTTAATTAAATTAAATTAATTAAATGTATTAATAGCATTATATATGACTGGATAAAGCACGGTCAGATTTCCATATTAAGAAATCTTAGTTAACTAAGAATATATAGTTATAAACATTCCATTCTGCAGGTGAAATTAAGAATAATTATATATTGATGTGATATTATCACGTGTTAGCATACCGCTGTTTTTATCCAGGTGTATTGATTTGCTCTAAATTAAGATAGATATCTTTTAGACAAATTAAAAACCTGCTTATATAATATATTAAATTCTCTTATTGGATGGTTTTCAGAAAATGACTATGAACTGGGTTAAATGTTATTTTATTTAAAAATTACATAAGAATAGATCTTAACTACCTAGGAGATCTAGCCAGCATTGAAAGGGTTATTCTAACTGTCTGCTAAACTTTACGACCTTACGCTGCACTCTGAGGAATTCTGTTCTTCGCTGTGAAAAGTTTAACTTTCAATCTGTGTAAGGATACCTCATAAATCGTCAGAATTCTTGACAGATAATGCCGTTTAGCCATTGAAACGTGATACCCATTTCTTTGTATTGCATATAATTTTGTACTGGATATTCATTGATTATTGTCATGCATGTTACATAATATTATTTGTTAATTATTGGTTATCATAAATAAAATCTATTTTTATACATTGTGATATTATTTATATGAAATACATTTCACTTAACACGATAAACGTTCTTTGGGATCTGAGAATTGAATTAGTGGGCAATTTTCACTGTTACTATTATTATCCCATAAATATCCCCACATATTGGAGGCACGGTGCTGAGATCGTTTAAGTTGAAATTGTATTTCATATATAATAATAATATTGGTGTAATTCATGCAATTTAATCTTAATATAGAAAAGAGTTTTGTATTGAGATTACTCAATAAAATAAAAATAAAAATGGCCAGTGGCAGTGATAAATCTGTAACAGATAATACTGAAATAATTGAAGACCTAAGAAAACATGCTCTAGTTCATATTCATAAACATATGAAAAATGATGCAACCTATGAGGTTTGGTTGAAAAGCATAGAATGGGAAGCTAAACACACCATTCTAACTGATGAACACATCATCATATATCTTAAAGAAATTGCTGAACAAAAGAACATAGAAAGGAAAATGGCGTTCATAATACACTCTTGGCCTTTCTTTATGACAGCACTTCTTAAGGTGTGTGATGAAAACAAGTCACTGAATGCCAAATTGGACACGTACAGTGATGATCTGGGCATTCAAAATGGGAAATACCAAGATTTACTTGCTGAGCATAAAACTCGTCAGGCTGATCATGAAAAAGAAATGAAAGCTTTGATGGATAAATATGCACAGGAAATAAATCAGCTTAAAATGCAATTGGATGAGTATGAAAAGGAGAGTCAGAAATTAGACAGTGAGGTTGGTAGTCATCATTCTGTGCCAAAAAGTTGCACAAAAATGCAAGAAAAGACTATCTGTAAATCCCCTCCTTATTATGATTTTCCCACACCAAACCAGGTTTTCATAAAACAGTCTCTAAGAAAAGAGGTGAGTAATTCTGAAAAAACACCTGTAGGTTCTTGGCAATCATGGGCAGAACAGTTTGAAAAGACTGTCCTGGCCATGCTTGACAGAAAGAATCAGATTCAAGGTGATAGGAATGAAAACAGACATGGTTCTGTACACTGGCAGAATTCTGATGCTGATCGGAATTGTGACAGTGAACAAGAAGCTCAGAGTGATGGGAGTGAAAGTGATTGCACTGTCCACTCTGAAGGCCATGTAACTGATATGCCATCTGCACTGTTGTACGGGTCTAATTCCTCTTCAGCAGACAGATCGCATAGACGTTTACCCAAACACAGAAACAGAGGTCGTAAATCAACGATGCCTGTTTATGAAACGCCAAAGGTCATCAAATTCCTTAGAGAGACTGTCCCACAATTTTCTAGAGGTTCGGGAAACATATCTGAACATCTGGAAAATTATGATAGAGCAATGAATTCATTGGGCATGTATGATGACATTCATAAGAAATGGTTCATTACATGGACCTTTGATTCAATATGTCGTGTTTATCTAGAAAGTCTTCAAGCTATACAGTTAATGTCCTGGTCCAAGATGAAATATGAAATAATCATGGAATATGGTAAGTATAAAACCATTGCTTCTGCTAAGAAGGCGCTTTATAACTTAAAGTGCCGTCCAGATCAAAGCCCCAGAGAATTTTTAATAATTCTTAAAAATGCATACTCCGTGGCCCAAAGAAAACCCAGGTATGAAAGCACAGACTTCAAAGATCTGTATTTTCATGCCATGCCAGTAAACATACAAATGAATCTCGCAAGAGATTACGATTGTAAGTTGCCATTAGAATGGCTAGTCAGTCAGTGTATGAAGTTGTACACTATACACCATGCACATGACGAAAATCAGCCAAAGGTTAAGAAACCTGGTGATAAAATGGTGTCAGAGACAAAAATTCAGTTAGGTTTAGAAACCCAACAGAAAAAGAGGACCTATTCCGAGGTTTTGAAATCTCCAAAACCTCAGAAACAGGAAAATGCTAGAAGCAATTCTGCAAATTCCTCTAATAACTCTGAAAAATCCAATGCCAATGGGAATAAACGCCCCTGGGTAATAAGAACCAAGGCAATTCCCAATGGAGAAGGAATCCTCAGGGAAATAGGAGATATGGAAACAGAAACAACCAATCTGCTTCCAGTAACTCCCAACAGTCTCAGCCATCCCAGCCAAATTCTAATGGGCAAAGACAAAACGGCAATGGGGGAAATAATTTGCGTCGTCAGGTTGGTCAATTGACAGACCAGATGGGCAAATTAATGGAGGGAATGACAAAGATCAACCAAGTCTTTGCTCTAAATCCTTTTTTAGGGATAGCTCCAGTTGCAGAACTACCTGTGCAACCGCAACAACAACAGGCGCCGCAACAATAATAGCCACTGTGACTAAACAGGCTAGGTTATCAGTAGATGTAATACCTAACCCCGTTTCCTTTCCAAGTTCTAACAGTCAAATAAACAATAGTTGTGTTCGGGGCAAATAGCCGTATATGGAGTAAGGTTCCAACATAAGCGTAGGATAGTATAAAGGGAGCAAGTCGGTTGTGGTGTGCCGAGACCGACGATACGGTAGGCCTGTAAATAAAGAGGGCCCACCAAGGAGTAAGAAAGTAAAGTAAATGGAAAGAAAAGAGAAAGTGTTGAAATGAGGAGTGGGTGGGAGGGTCATTCTGATGCTGACCTCAAGCAATATGAGTCAGGTAAGGGGTGTCCCTTATATAGGGGAGTGAATTAATTTAAGCCCCTCCCACAAATACAGGCCAAATGGCCTTAAAACTTGTGTTCGGGGCAAATAGCCGTATATGGAGTAAGGTTCCAGCATAAGCGTAGGATAGTATAAAGGGAGCAAGTCGGTTGTGGTGTGCCGAGACCGACGATACGGTAGGCCTGTAAATAAAGAGGGCAAAAATGAATAATCAAAGATTTAATACAGTCAACAATATATACAAATTAACCAGACATTTCCTTAAATGCATTACGGTATTTAATTCCTTGAAGGATTTTGAAGGTAGGAATCTAGGACCGCAACTGGACACCATTTGTTGCGAGTAGGATAGTATGTTATCTCTACTGTTGGTGCGTGTTGACTCGTTTCGGAATGTGGTAGAGCCAATAGGTAATGATATATGTGTTTATATACGTGGGATCGTTGAAGACAATGATCTGTCTGAGTGGTGGTTATGGTAGTGGATTCTCTGGCCTGAGAAAGGCATAAAAGGCAGTGTGCATGGTGGTAATGGCCAACTTGGTAGTATAATTGAATGGTTGTAGCACTAATAGGTCCGATAAGGATGGAAAAGTTGGATGGCTATTGGTAATATCTGAGAGGAACGTGGGGGGATGGATTCCTGAAAACCTCAGAGTATATTCTTGTCTGGTATGATAGCATGAAGTTATGGTAGTTTTGGCCATAGGTTATCCTCTGTTGTTGAATGCCTGTAAAATATATAATTAATGGTGTGTGAGATGGTTTTAGTTTAAGGTGGCAAAAAATGAAGCAAAACCTAGGAGAAATGTTATGACACAGGTTGAGCTATGTCGTGTTCCAATGAGATTCTTTAAAGCCAGGTGAATAGCTGTGTTATGCGTTCTACAAGTATGGGATGAAAGTGCTAGGTGGGATAGTGCATGCTATGCTGCATGAGTATGTCTAATCCATGATTTTGTCTCTGGAACGAAAGAGTGGCCGTGACTGTATGGGCGGCTGTAGGAAGCGTATGATGAACGTGCCTGGAATATAAATGAGACAATTGTCGGCAAGGATGTATACCCCCGCCTGGTACATGAAAGTAAAAGAAATGTGGTAAGTGGCCAACCAAGTGAGTTCCCCAGCAATACCATGATCGTATGGATGATGAGTGGCATTTGTTGATGATATGACATGTGCTTAGTTGTCTGAGTAACAACGGATTGATGACCCTGACCATGATTTACCCCATGCCACAGCAGCTGCTTTTAGCGGGGAAAGGATTGCCCATTTTATGCCATGTAAGTGCCAGTTTGTAGGGTAGATGGTAGCCGTTTACTGTGTTGATGATATTGGTCTTACTTAACAAAGCTTCAACCCATGCTTGAGTGATAGCTGTAAAGGTAGATCAATGGTGTATATAGTAAGGAAACTCCTCAGAGGGTATGAGGGAGTTGAGACTTGGGGTAGTGAAGGTGTGCGGTGCCAATAAGTCTATGGTTAGTCTTTGTTTAAGGGAAGATTCCCTTGTGACAATACCAATGTGTTTGTGTTTGGTGCCATGCTGTAAATGGTGGAGATTGGAAAACCCAAGCAAAAACCCCTCTGCAAATCTTGGCTATGAGTGTGTTTACAGCCGACGATTCTGTTGTGCTGACTGTAAGTGAGGGCATGCTATATTCCTTGAGGGTTTATTTATGATACCTGTATGGGAGCCATTTGAAGCTCCAGAGCCTTAGTAAATCTACTACAAGTCTGGAAGGGTGATGAGTCAGTAGTGTTGAAAATGCATTGGTGTGTACAGATGGTGATTACGTTATTTGTAAGTTGTATTGGGACACTTGGTTTGTCATGTGCCCTGAATGATTTGAACATATATGCAACAGTCTATATGCAATGCAACTACTACTACCAATTGTCTCTGGTAGTTCAGAGGTGCTGGTACCTGGAGCCTGAGAGTGCTCACCCGTTTGTTTGGGAGAAAATCCCTTCTGGATGGGTACCTGCACAAATAAGCATCTCTACATATTCCAAATGCCAACACAACCAAGGGATGGTCAGTTCCCGATTTACCTAGAATCCCTGGGTCTGACCATCATAGATACATCATCATACATATATATGCCTTGTTTCCCCAATGTGCCGGGATCATATGTGCAAGGTTAACGTCTTGAACCAAGTAACCGAGTTTTGGTTGGTGCTGGTTGTACAGTAGCGTGAGGCCCAGCCTTGTGAGGGCTGTGACTGACCCGAGATTGCCAGTCTGTCGTAAATTTTTTGGCTCATGAGTTTATGAGTGAGGCTAGCATGGCCTGGGTGTCACCTGAGTTGGTGTTGCTGGGCCTTCCCCTACTTCCGTGTTGTCCGTTGATGTATGGAGGAGTTTGAATAACTCTGCTTTCCTTGCTGTGGCAGGGTAGTGGATTTGTCGCCTCCATAGGTCGGAGCCACATCTCCTCTGCTTGAAGGTGTATCACTTCTAGCCGGGGTGCCAGGAAGAGGTGATTCTTAAATAACAATAAAGATTGCAATTATTATTTGTACCAGGGGTCTTGTACTGGCTTGCTAGCTAAGCCGTAAGGCGAAACGATTAGGCTTGGTGTTTTTTGGTGACTGGTGAGGCCCTGCTAGTTGCCAAGTGGCTTGAGAGGCTCTATCTATGCTTGGCGCGAGGGGATTTTTTTGTGGCCACCGAACGTTGTGGCAGGATGTTGGCCTCTCGGTGACAGTAACCAGAAAATAGGAAGGGGAGTGACAGGTGAGGCCCTCTCTATGATACAATGCGAGGCGGCTAGCTCACGAGTGGCCCGAGGGGTGTATGCCTCCGAGTGTGAGGCGGGGTGTTGGCCTCGCGGGACCACTAACCAAAGCGTAAAGCAGAGAAAACAGGAGGTAATACCTATTGGGCCATAGAACCCTAATTGCCAGTACATTACTACTATTCCAGGGAAGGTAAGAGATGAAGGTGTATCACTTCTAGCCGTGGTGCTTGGAAGAGGTGACTCTTTACCATCTTTTTGAGAAATACTTAAATAACAATAAAGATTGCTATTATATATTTGTACCCAGGGGTCTTGTACCGGCATGCTAGCTAAGCCGTAAGGCGAAACGATTAGGCTTGGTGTTTTTCAGTGACTGGTGAAGCCCTGCTAGTTGCCAAGTGGCTTGAGAGGCTCTATCTATGCTTGGCGCGAGGGGATTTTGTGTGGCCACCGAACGTTGTGGCAGGATGTTGGCCTCTCGGTGACAGTAACCAGAAAAATAGGAAGGGGAGTGACAGGTGAGGCCCTCTCTATGATACAATGCGAGGCGGCTAGCTCACGAGTGGCCCGAGGGGTGTATGCCTCCGAGTGTGAGGCGGGGTGTTGGCCTCGCGGGACCACTAACCGAAGCATAATGCAGAGAAAAAAGGGGGTAATACCTATTGGGCCCTAGAACCCTAATTGCCGGTACACTATTACTATTCCAGGGAAGGTAAGAGATGGATAACTACGTGAGCAGGTGTACGTACCTGGTAGTATGGTATTGAACCTGACAATCCGTATAGGTTTTTTAGTAATAACTGTAACCTGAATGGATAAAATCGTATGGCATAAGGAAATATGGCATAGACCAAGCTTATCTTAAAACATACAGTATATGTGAACGTAAAGTGCTGTGATATGTAAATATTAAACATCATATCCACACTGGTTAAATATGTATCAATCTTAACCCATTAAGTGCCGTATGTAAGTGAACCATATTACCAGTTACGTATATACAGATGCGTGTGCTACTGTGTAATACTATGTGTATTTATAACAGATATTGATATACTGCTTGCTATGTGAATTGTTGTATGCCTTATTGAATGGCAAGTGAACATGGAGTTGCAAAATGCAAGTGCACTGGAGATCTGCCGAGTGCCCTATAGGTGGCAGTGTAGTTGATACTGATTTGTATGTGAAATGTTGTTTGTCTGTTGACCTATAGGTGTCAGTGTTTTGGGGTTTGTAAAACCCTATGAAAATTGTCAATGTACTTGACAGACCTGTAGGTGGCAGTGTTGATAGAACCACTGTTAGTCTTAATGTGAAATGTAAATTATTGTGAATTAAACCTGAAGTTGAGCCTGTGTTGGAGTTTAATTCATGGTTTATGGTTATGTTTAAAACAATCTTATGTGTAATTTATATTGGCTGGTAATTGTATATGACATGTGAAGACAGTTTTGCTGTTAACCAGTAGGGGTCAGAAATGCTGATTGTATGGTAAAATACCCTTTAACCCCTGAAGGATACATGACATGTGTGACATGTCATGATTCCCTTTCATTCCAGAGTTTGGTCCTTAAGGGGTTAATCCAAATGCAAGGTTAACGTGAGATTTTGAGAGTGACCTGTAGGGGTCAGTGTGGTTTATATGAATCATTGTTTGTGAGCTATGCCCCAGCATTATAGTTGTATGACAGGGAAACAAACAGTGCCCGTTTGACAATATACAATAAGTGAACATAATAGCTTAATAACAGTCATTGTAACAAACCAAAGTTCTGTTCGTGGGTTGTAAACGCACGAAGCGTGTGTGTAGTACAATAGTAAATGCATGAACTAGTACCCGTTTGATAGAAAATTGCACGAACCGTGAGCCTGGTATGTCAGGGAAACCATACGAAACGAGCAGTGAGAAATGCACGCACCGAATTGCCTAGTATGTTTAGGCAATTGAAACAGAATGTGTTCCCGTTTGGGAGTATGCTAATGCTTGAAATGAGCCAGTGACAGATATAAACAAGTGAATTTAAACGAATGATATGCATGAACATGCAATGGTTTTAGGACAGATTTAGACAAAATGCAGCCGTAAAGTGAGGACCTGACCCGTGCATGGTGCCGTGGGACTGATGCCTGGCGTAACGGGTAGGTCGACTTACGGTTTGTGAGTCACTTGGACACCATCCACAGCGATAGATTGAAGAAAGAAGGTGGTAGGCCGGAAAAGCCTGTGGCTGAATTCCTGACACATCTCAGCTTAGAAAACCTCATGGAGTAATCAGGTAAAATGGCGTCTGGATGACCCGGAAGTGGAAATCATTCTGATGCTGACCTCAAGCAATATGAGTCAGGTAAGGGGTGTCCCTTATATAGGGGAGTGAATTAATTTAAGCCCCTCCCACAAATACAGGCCAAATGGCCTTAAAACTTGTGTTGGAAAACCTATTGCCTATACCGTCACTTCACTTCCGGGTGAAGGAGGCGCAACGTGTTCCTCTGTTTTTTCATTTCAGCCAAAGGCTAAAGTAGCCCCAGCAGTCACTAGTTTCCAGGATCCAGACCTGAAAGGGTTAACTGATGAGATGCCGACCACTAATTCCCGCTTGATAGTTCAAGATGTTCCTAAAAAGGATGGGCCTGTGGGTAAGACTGAGCATTCCTCAGTACAGGTAGAAACTACTGCTGTGACCGGTAATGTATGGAAAACAAGTAATATGTTGACACATTCTAAATTCTTATGTGAATTAGAAGAACATGAAGGAAGGTACTACATGTCTGTAGAAATACAGGATTCGCTACCCCAGCCTTTTAAAGGGTTGATAGATACTGGTTCACAAGCCACTATCTTATCCAATACCTACTTCCAGCAGGTAATGGACTTAGCAACGGATAAGCCGAAGCTAAGAGATTTCCCCAATGCTCTGTTGAGTGTAGGAGGAAATGCCCTTCATGTTATTGGCAATACATGGTTAAAGTTTAAAATAGGTAACAAAACCTTTAGACACCCGGTGATAGTGGTAGATCTCCCCTATGACCGACTGATTCTGGGTATAGACATACTCAGAAGACTTAACACAATTATTGACTGTGTGAATGGAATTGTATGGTCACAAGCTAAGGTTCCCATAACCTATGAGAAATCACATGTTCAATCTGATCGTAACTGCCATGTGATAGAAGAAAGACCTGACTCGATAGAGGTACATTTTAGGAATAGTCAGTCACCTGACGTGACTATCCTGCAGGTGAATGATGCAATCGCACCTGTAGATGAGCATTCCATAAGAATTGCTCCAGAGAGGATCCAGAATGTCTCTCTGGAAGGTGATGTTTTAACCATTTCTCTCCACAGGGACTATGTTGAATCTGTAGATCTGGCAGGTCATGCTCAATTCCTTGCCAGAATTGAAAGGGTTAATAACAACTTATTCTTTCCTATGCAAATAAATGACTTAGGAAGAAGTAAGAATGCAAAGCTGGACTTACAGAGTGAGAACAGCTATATTAGCAGAAGTCTGTTAAAGCAGATAGCTAATCCTAAAATGATCAGGTACGCTTCCCCACATGACAGGTGGATCCAGAATCTGGATGGCGAATCAGAGAGTCACAATGTGATAGCAAAATGTTTACTATCTATTTCCATCGGAAATAAGACAGTTAAACATTTATTCCTAGTGATAGACGAACCTCGCTATCAGGTTTACGTTGGCAATGATGTCATACATCGCTTTGCCATACACCTTGACCTGATTAATTCCAACTTGTGGACAAGGTTAAAAGGTAATCCTTGTGGATACCTACACGAGGAAAACGCCCTGAAATCAGGACAAATACTCCCATATGCGGTAAGTATCCAAGTTCCTGATGACATAACCATTCCCCAGGGGACAAGTAACTTTCTTTTACCCCTACAGGTCAAGGAGGGTCAGAGATTAGAAAACTCTGATGCCCTAATCTGTTTATCCAACAGGATACAACAATTAGGGATGGTGGTAACACATACACCAATGGTAAGTATTGGTAAGAATCCCACCTATATCATGGTCAACAATGTTACACCCAATAGTGTTACTTTACCAAAAGGAACATTATTAGGTCTAGCATTGGATGCTGAGTACTATACATTTGGTTTCCAAAACCAAATTATAGGCCTCATCCCTGAAGAATACTTAACTGAGGACGAAATTGTCGATCAAATATTCCATTCCTCCCCAGAAGGATTATTCACTATCCTATCTGTGTATCCCTTCAACGTTGAAGAAGGCTCGTGTAAAATCGAAGAAGCATCAATCACCTTCGATCATCCGCTCAATGAGCAGGAATCACAAGAGTATCACGACCAAAGAGAAAAGGTAAGTCAACACCGAACTGACCTAACTTCTAGGCTTGAAGAAGCTTATGAGATAGGCCAGCCTGAAATCTTTCCAGGATTTCAGGAAAGGCTAGAAGAGCAAATATCTTTAGCTGACGGTTGCTCCAACGATGCTGAGCGGCAACAGCTAAAGGAAATCCTTTTGGAATTCCAAGATATTTTTGCCAAAGATTCCTACGACTGTGGGTTAACAAACCTCCACGTAGCCAGAATACAAACTGATCCAAATTTGCCACCTGTATTTATCAAACAGTATAGACTCCCATTAGCGTCATATGATGGTCTACAAGACATCATTCAGAATTTAAAGGAAAGGGGCATTATACGTCCAGTGCACAGTTCGTATAATAATCCAATCTTGGGGATTCTGAAACCTAATGGACAATGGCGTTTATGCGCTGACTTACGACAGCTAAATAAACGCGTCTATATGTCTGGTTGGCCAACGCCATACATAGACCAATGTTTGGTACAAATGCAGGGATCCAAAATATTCACTGCCATTGACTGTGCGCAGGGATATTGGACTGTACCAGTTCATAATGAAGACCAATACAAATTGGCCTTCACATTTGGAAAGCAGCAGTATACCTGGACCCGTATGCCTTTCGGTTATATAAACTCTGGTCATGAATTCGCTGTGTTCATGCATAAAGCTATGCCTGACGCACTCGAGAGAGGAACGTTATCATATGTCGACGATGTCTTGCTGAAAAGCACTTCCTTTGATAAGCATATCTTAGAGATTAGACATGTTCTCACTCAGTTAAGAGAGGCAGGGATTAAACTGTCTTTACAAAAGGCACAATGGTGTCGCACCCATGTCAATTTCCTTGGACATGAGGTAACTTCTGAAGGATTAAATCCCCAGAGGAAGAAGGTTGAAGCCGTACTAAAGGCTAAAACACCTTCAAACATCAGGGAATTAAGATCGTTCCTTGGTATGACTAACTACTCCCGTAAGTTTATAGATAACTATGCAGAAATAACTAAACCACTCTTACACCTGCTTAAAAAGGAAACTACCTGGAACTGGGGGGAGCCTCAGGACCAAGCGGTAAGTGAACTGAGGAGGAAGCTCACTCAGGCACCCTGTTTAGCATACCCAGAGGGGGGTAAACCCTTCTATCTGGAGACAGGATATACCGATTTAAGCATAAGTGCTGTTCTGTATCAGAAGCAGGACAGTTTAAACAAAGTTATTGCATATGCTAGCAAGACTTTGTCACCTGTTGAAGTTAAATTCAACACGTGTGAGAAGGCGTTATTGTCGACTGTCTGGGCACTACAAAATTTTCGTAGCTATATCCAAGGTGAGAAAATAATTGTAGAAACAGCTCACCAACCTCTACAGTATCTGCAGAGTGAAAGAATCAGAGACGGTAATCTCTCTAACAGTCGGATTACTGCATGGACTCTATCCTTACAGGGATGGCCGTTAGAAGTCCGTTATAAACATAATAAGAGAAGCCCAGTTGCCCAAGGTTTAGCAGAATTACATGACTGTACTGCTCCATCTCTGGATGATAATGACACCGGAGATGACTTCCTAGAAGAGCAATTGCTATCTCCTTATAAAGTTTATGACGAGGAATACTGTCGACCACTACCGTGGGTATACATTGATGGTTGTTCATATCACCACGTCGTTGGTGCTGAACGGAAGTTAGTTGCAGGTATCGGAATCGCCTGGACAGGTGATTATCCCAATGTATCTATAGGATACAATATTGGTCCCAAAAGCAGTCAGATAGCCGAACTCTGTGCAGTATATAAGACCATTCAAATGGCAATAGAATATGGTATCAAAGAATTTGTTATTATAACTGATTCCAACTATGTTCGCAACAGTTTCGTCGAATATCTGCCTAGCTGGAAACGTAACCAAATGCTGAAAAGCAATAACAAACCTGTTAAACATGGGAAATTGTTTTGTAAAATCGATGAACTGGTTAAGGAAAATGGTTTATCCATATATTGGAAGAAAACCAAAGGCCATTCTAAAATAGAAGGTATTGACAAGGATGGTAATGACTTAGCTGATTCACTGGCAAAACAAGCTGCCATCAATGGTGAAACCCTAAACATTGATGATCTTATGGGTTCAATTCATGTTGAAGCCATAACTAGACGACAGGCTAGAGATAATGCCGACTTAAACGTCGTGCAATGGAGTCAAGAAGCTCCTAGTGAGGACCTGATTACTAGTCAAAAGAATGATCCCGTCATAGGTATATTCTATAGACATATAGAAGACCCTACTGCCAATCCCATCACAGATGAGGATTGCAAGGATAATGAAGATTTACGAATCTTGATGAGATATAAAGTCCAATTTAGTATCATGGATGGGTTGCTGGTCAGAACTTCTAAACATGGTATACAACAATGGGTAGTCCCAACTGTATACAGAGGGTTAATGCTCCAACACGCACATGATGCACCTACATCTGGGCATCGTGGTGATAAGATCACATATGAGATATTGCGTGATTATGCATATTGGCCACACATGTTGAGGGATGTTAAGACATACTGTCAGGGATGCTTGATTTGTCCGCAATATCAACCCCATGGTCCAACCCATCGTGCACCACTTCAGAAGAGGGGGGTGTCATTACCCTGGTCTGATATTCAAATTGACTTTATAGGTCCTGTAACAAGATCTTCA